TTTTTGCATTCTTTTGCTTTTTTGATTTACAACCACCAGAATTTAGTGTGAAATCTCTTGACAAAAAAGTTACCTACATATAATTTTTGTCTCATATATTTATCAGATAATCTTCTCGGATAGCCAAGAGACCAGTAAGTCTCTCTTCTATCCCCTACGAAATTACCCTTATATGGGTCCTGGGACATAGGGACAATTACGGAAACGAGGCAGCGGACGAACTAGCAAGGTGCGGCTCCGTACTGAATGTGTCCTACGCGGTGGACATGGGCGCCTCACTCAGCGAGATAAAAGCAAACATTTCTTAAATTGGTCACTAGAAGGCCAAGAAGAGGTGGAACAATACAGGATTACCCGGCAGTTCTGGATGTCCTACGACCCACTTAAAAACAAAGCACTCTTAGGAATGAGCAAAGAAGGTACATACAAACTTAGTGCAGTGTGCACATAGCACTTTCCCGTTGGTGTACATGCCGAAAGGATTGGATTGCCCTTCAACAGGTTCTTGCGAAGTTAACCCTGGCTCAAAAAAGATACTCGAACACTTCCTGTACGAGTGTCCTGCCCTAGTTATTGTTTTTGTACCCTAAATATATGAGGAAAATATTTTCAATTGCATATTTTACGTGTTTACAGCGCATATTTTTGAATTTTCAGTACATATTATATGCGCATGATTTCGATTTTTTAGTGCATGAGATCCGGAGCCATATTTATAACCAGGGAACGGATTTTTAGGACCTAAAAACCTATAAAAAAGGCAAAATAAAATAACGAAATAGGCTAGAAAAGGCAAAATAAAATAGCGAAATGGGCAGAAAAAGGCACTAAATCGCAAAAAAGGCAAAATAAGGCACTAAAAAAATACGAAAAATAATCAAAAAATACATTTATTTTAGAAATGTTTATTTTACAAGTAGGTTAATTATATGAAAAATTTGAACTTTGAATCTTTGACTATTTTCTTCTTTCGAGTTTTTAACTCAGAAAACTTTAATCCCTTGTTGTAGTAACATTGAACCACAAAATGCATTTTCAAGTTTTCTGGCAGAATTCTCATTCGATTTTCGCGAATAAAAGCCTTGAATGTACTAAACGTGCGCTCGACGTGAGTTGATACAAGTGGCGACAAGTCATTTTAAATCTGAAACGTTATCAGGAATTAGGGTTGCCAGACGTACTGCTTTTGGGAGTAAACGTACTCCTTTTTAGTGCAATGTACTCTCTTGTACTCAAAAAAAAAAAAAATCTGGAAATGTACTCCTTTCTGAGCTTTGTACTTCTTTTGAACTCCTTTTTCCAGCTATTAATATTTTATCATATACAGGGTGTAAAATAATATCTGTTGCACAGTTTTTTTTTTTGAAAAATAAAAGGGGCCTTTATAGATTTTGCGAAACAGTAGTTTATTGTTAATTATCCACAGATTTTACTTCAATTTTATTAATAGGTTTTTAAATTTTAACCTTCATTTGGGTTTACTGGCGGTAAACACTTTGAGAGAAAAGCGCAAGTAAAAAAAGTAGTTATTTTATAGTTTTTAAATTTAACCTTCATTTGGGTTTACTGGCGGTAAACACTTTGAGAGAAAAGCGCAAGTAAAAAAAGTAGTTATTTTATAGTTTTTAAATTTAACCTTCATTTGGGTTTACTGGCGGTAAACACTTTGAGAGAAAAGCGCAAGTAAAAAAAGTAGTTATTTTATAGTTTTTAAATTTAACCTTCATTTGGCTTTGGGAGAAAAGCGCAAGTCTTCGTCGGTTACTTTATTACATATCTTCTGTAACCATAGGCTAATTTCCCCCATTTGGGTCCTTTATACTCCGTCTTTTGTCCAAAAAAAGGCCTCATACTTAGCAATCGAAAAGACTCGAAACTGGTGACTAGGAGGGCATTCATTCGACCAACCCTATACAGGTTTTTTCTTCTTTTTTTATACAAAATCTAAGAAAAAATACACCTGAAAAAGAGGTTCGTGCCGCATGTACTTATCTCCCAACGCTGGCAAATGCAAATCAGGATTAAAATTTGAAAACCAATTAATAAAATTAAAGTAAAATATTTACAAAGTTAACAAAAAAAAACATAAAATCTATAAAGAGCCCTTTTATTTTACAAAAAACCTGTGCGACAGTTATTATTTTGCGCGCTGTACTTTGCCATTCATATTGTGGCAAACACTACTTAGTAAGCAAAGTTAAGTGTGATAGTGAAAAGGTGTAAGCATGGCCTTAGGGGCAGGGCGCTCGGGTATAAAAATCAGAAACATATTAAATTAATTATAAGGCTTAAATTAAAAAAATGACCATACATTCAGGAAGAGTCTGGAATTCTTTTGTAGTTTTTAGTTTTTTAGTTGGGGAAACTTTCCTATAAGAGCGGTCACTGAGAACCGAATTCTACGCAAAAATACTGTGGACGCAAGTGAAAATTGTGACTTTTGGCAATTTTTCTAAGGGGTCCCTGGGGCCCATAGGGGCCCTAGGTGGTCGGGAGTAACATTTTTTTCAATGGCGGTTCATGCCCTCTCCAAAAAGGTCGAAAAAGGTGCCACGTCCACTCCCTCATCGATGACCATCTCTTTAACAACCGTCCCTATTGGAAAGCCAACCCATATAGTTATTTATTTTTCACATTTATGGTTGCTTTGAAAAAAATTTCTAAGATATCTTTGTTTGTTTGTACCTGATTAATGGTAATTTGTAACAATAAATTGCACAAAAAATTAAAAAAAAAAATTGTACTCCTTTTTTATGTCATGTACTGCTTTTTTTCTATCGAGAATCCGTTTTAAAATGTGGCAACCCTATCAGGAATGAGGGCTTTTTCCTTTGCCCTTACAATTAAGGGTAGAAAAGGCAAAAAAGGCAAATATTTATCTTAAAAAAGGTAATCTCAAATGTTTGTTTTTAAATTGATATATTTAAGGGTTTGGGCCTTGGGACGTTTAAACATATTGATGCTCACTTTCGGGAAGATTTACTTGTATTTGATATCTTAGGTTAAATTCAGTATAAATTTTCTCAGTACAAATAATTTCGCGTTCAATCCCGGTTCAACCCAACAACAAAAAATAAAACAACAAACAAAGTTCTTTCTAATAGCGGTCGGCACTCGGCAGGCAATGGTAAATCTCCGAGTGTATTTCTGCCACGAAAAACAGTTCTCATAAAAATACAATCGCTGTTTGGAGTCGGCGTAAAACTGTACGTCTCTCCCCTTTGTGCCACAAATTGGAGGAGAAGCTCTACCAAACACTAATTTTTGTGTAAGGCCGTTATACCACCAATATTAATTGGCAATCAAAAGAAAAAAAAATAGGTGGTTGGCGAGAAGTGGTAACGCTCTGTTTGCTGATTGGCGAACACACGGCTGCTTTTCAAGTAATGCCTTTTTTCATTTCATACTATTTTACACACAATGGCAGCACTATAGTAAAAGTGCAACTAAAAACGCGTCAAAAATTTTTTAGTATAACATTTTTATAGTAATATTTAAGTGGTAAGCAGTGCGCGCTTCCACTCCGCAACGCCTGGGTTCAAACCTTGGTCAAAGCAACATCGCAAAAAATATAGAAGAAAAGGTTTTTTCTTAACAGCGGTCGTCCCTCGGCAGGCAATGGCAAACCTCCGAGTGTATTTCTGTCATGAAAAACAGCTTCTTATAAAAATGCAATCGCCGTTCGGAGTCGACGTAAAACTGTAGGTCCCTCCGCTTTGTGTGACAACATCAAGGCGCACGCCACAAATCGGAGGAGAAGCTCGGCCAAACACTAACATATGTGTAAGCGCCAATCTATTATTATTATTTATTTTATAATGCTAATGTAAACATATTTTTTAATATTTAATACTAATACAAATTAGCGTATTGCAACCCTGAAAGATTGGCGTACTTGCTGTTCGGTTCACTTAGCAAATCGTGCTGGTTGTTCGAGTTCGAAAATTCTCTCACTCCGCGTTGTGCACAACAAAAATTGCACTGTGATTGCCAATCGAAATTGGTAGCATAATTACGGCCTAAGCGCCAATCTATTATTACTAAAGTGACTTATGCCACTTTCAAAGTTACGAAAAATTACTGACATACCAATTTTGTCCGATGTATTTTACTGAAGTCAAGTTTTAAAAAAACACTCTGGTAGTTCACACTTGCCTGGTTATCTGGTTGTGTGTTTATATTTTTTATTCAGTTTACAGCATAAATGTAAATTTTATAGAACATAAAAATAGAAAATGCCACTAAAGTTTCAGAAACTGTAGGTGTTTGCTTATTTTATTAGCCATATAAATAAATGCTCGTAAATGTTGCATCTGCTCGCAGTGAAGTAAGTATTTGAAATCGCAAAAACCAAAACAAGTGAAACAGCTAATTTGTTGACTCCGGGCACGAATTGTGGTTTTTTGCGTTCCTCATGCTTGTTTTGGCATGTTTTGACACATTTTTTACACTTGTAAGAGAGTAACTTATTTTTATGCTCTAATTACCGAAACAGCCCGGAAAGCATGCGGAACAAAGGATTTGTTCGAGCTATGAAATAATTACCGCAATATTGCAGCTTTGTTGCCTTCTTGATGAAATGTTGCTGTTGCACAACTGAAAATATTATGAAATACTGCAGAAATTGTGCAGTAAAAATTTTTATGTTGCTTTTGATTAGCAACTGATTGTCAAAATTGAGTTCCTCGAACGCTTGACGTAGGCAGAGTCGCCCAAATCTTCGCGTAGAATGATGTCCAAAGTTATCTAGATTTTTTTTGAAAAGGTGACTTATGCCACTTTTAAAATAAACGGCTCATATGTAAGTCCATACATTTTAATAGTGCTTTCGTTTCTACCGAAAAAGGTTACCTTCTCTTTGCCCTCTACGCACAAATACTAAGAGGGCAATTAGAAGGAAAATTTTTTGTAGAAACGAAAACGCCATAAGTCAAATTGCAGCGTTAAGTCATGATTTGTATCATAACAAGGTAATTGTTGCGTTCCCTGTTAATAATTACCTCTCGCTTCAAAGGGTTGACTTCTGGTGGCAATAAATCGAGTTCCTGCTGCAATATCATAATCGGATACTTATGATGGAGGTCAAAGTCTTTCTGGTGATTTTTCATAACTGATGGTATTATGCCATTACTGTTAATTCCATTCGTGATTGTGCCATTTGTGTTTGACATATTTATTGGTTTCATAAAAGCCTGCCGCTTAAGTTCATAACTTACGTAATTCTGAAAAGATTTAAGGCAATTATTTATAGCCAATGTTTTACACAAAATCTTCACTTACAGTCCATAAATTATAATCCCAGTTCTCAAATAAACCTTTGAATGTATTTGGCTCATCGTCCTGTCGAATTACTGCTACCGCGGTGGTGGGTCGACGAGCGATAGGCACGGACTCCAGATATTGTTGAACCATTTTCATATATTTATCCTTTTCATAGGTAGAGGCTTGTTTGCCTATCCAAATATACGAAAGTAAGCCAGTGTCTAGGACATAAATAGATTCCGGCGCGAGATCTTTTTGCTCGTACCCAATAACTTCCTGGGCATTGAATTTGCCACGCTGCAACCAAGTCAAAAATAGCTGCGGCTGCAGACGGGACTTTGTCGCATTATTGTTATTGTTGCCTACATAAGAACCATTTTGCGGTGATCCGTTACTAATACTACTACCATTGATCAGAGGCTGCGACATGTATAAGGTGACCGAACGCCAAAATTCTTTAGGCTCCTTACCCTCAACCACCAACGAGCATTCGCCAAGCAGACTGCCAACATTTTTTGCAATCTCACGTGCATCACCCGTCGAGCTTTGGCCACACCACACCCAAACATGGCTCGTTTTTACTACATAGCAATCTCTGGCGCTCATCGAGGTCAAAGGGTATACTTCAACAGCTTTGGAATTGTAGCTAGTGTCGCCATAGATACGCAAAACAAAGTAATCTCGATTTATTAGTGCCAACTCGCTGCTAATATAGTTTATGTTGTTATTGTGATGCGACATGGTCTTTTCACTTTGTAGTATAATTAGCTTGCCATCGAAGATCTGTAAAAAATGTGGTGTTTCATCATATTCAGTCATCTGAACAAACATAGCTTTTTGCTGGAGCTTCTCGAAGGTATTTAAAGCGAAACGCTCACAGTGAGATATGTCATCCGTATTGGCTTCTGACCCACTCCATTGATAGATGATGGTGCTGACGCCCACATTTTGGGCATCGGCAAGACTTGTAGTTGGCAGCTGAGAAAAACAAGGGGTACTTGGACTTTTCGTTTGTTAAATACCACAATGCAATATACTTACCATTACTGTGTATTCGACCACATAACAGTGGTTGGTTAAAAATATAACCGCCTTGGATTGCGGTTTTTCGATCACCCTATCTTTGGTTACATGATAGATCTTTCGTTCGCCAGTTCCGTCATCAATAAGCTGCGTATCCGCGGCCATTTTCGGACGTTGACTGAGTGTGAGCGCATCAAAACGTTTAAATATTTTCGAGACTGGTTTTATTGGGGTTGCAGACTCTGTAGCGTCTGACTGCCAACTTGGAAAGAGTCGTATGAATTCTACTGGTTCATGACCTTGAATCACACGTATAACAGTCGTTGAGTAGGGGTATTTTTTCTGAAAAAAAAACATTAAATCACTTATGCTTCAATAGTTCGCCAATTAAAGTCTACCTTTTTCACAAAAGCCCGTCCATTACCCATAGCGCTAATCTTATCCTGGTGTGGCGCCATATTGCCCACCCATAGCCAAACGCCTTCCAAGCAATCGTCCAAAACATAAGCTGTAGTCGTATCACTTAGGTCTTCTTTTGTCGGTATAGCCACATCCAGCTGATCCAAATGCAGCCGGGTACCACGATAGCCACATTTATAGATCTTCAGTTTGTTGTTGTGGTGTTTGTCGGGTGTTGCCGATATTTGACTTACTACACGTTGACTTAGTGGTAGAAATGAATTCCATTGATTCTTTAACTTTTCCGGCATTGATTGCTCATACCCATCGTCTACAACTGTTACATCGTTGGCATTTACTCCCAACTTTGTTACCCAATCGAGAGCACTGCGTCGTTCAGCTGAACTGCTCGAGCGACCAATCCAAACAAAAGCATTTGACTCTGTTTTTAGCAGCATGATATAATCGGAGCCGAAATAGTCCCACGATATACTGTCCATTTCAATGCAACGCAGCCATTTGCGACCATGAAGTTGATAGAGCCGATTCATAAGTTTTGAACCAACCAAATTGCTTGAAAGAATACTGTAATGGTAAATCATATTCAGTATTAATATGTATATATATAATATCGTTCAGGAAGGAACTTACGTGAAACCCTTTTTGAAATAGGATAAAAAGCGTGCACTCTCGTTACCCTGCGCCTCGCGATATTCAGTAGCTACATTGTTAAAGTATGAGTCCAGCTCTTGGATTTTATGCGCGACATTAGAACGCTTCTGTTCGGATACTTTCTCGCCCAGCCAGAAGTGTATGAAACGATCTAGATACGTGCCAGCCTTGGTTTCACGTGTCTATGTAAACATAAGGAAGTTATACACTTATTTATATGTATGTATGTTTAATAAATATATTGCTTTAGAAGGCTTGTGTAAATGTTTTTACTTACAATTGTATCCTGATTGACGTAAGTGCCCTTTGGTCCAGCTGCGTAGATAATATACGCACAGTCGTCAATGAAATTGCCATATTGGGTTTTAGGCTCAGCTTCCAAACGATCCTCTTCGATTTTCCAAATATGAAAACAAATTGCGTTTTTTGCAATTTTTCGAAAAGATGCGTCCACTTTTATATCAGATATGGAGTTTGAGCAGACTTCCTGGAAATCAATGAAAAAATGAAAATACCGTTTTATAAAGATATATATACATATACATATATACATATAATAAACGAGATTTTTCGTTTTTTTACTCTACTATTACTCAGTTCGGAGATCTTTCAAAGTTACCAACAAAACCCTTTTGACCCTTTTTCGAAACACTAAGAGAGATCTTCTTCTTTTTTATTCCATTATAACTCTCTTGGGAGCAGAAAGCGATGTCTCCCAAAGTGATACATCCAAGTGTGTTATTTTTACTTAATACTAGCAGACCCGGCGAACTTCGTCCCGCCCAAAACTAATTTTTTTATTGAAACATTTGACCCAACGTTTTCGCCACCAATTCACGTTGTGGTCGACATAAGGCATATCCTCCATTGCCGTCTTAAATAACCTGACGAAAGCGTTATGCCTGGAGGACGCCCTTGCGACAACAATGATCAGGTTCTATGGTGAATCGTCCTTGAATCTGTATAGTATAGTTGGAGGCAATTTCCAAACTGGGGAGTATCATTGGCCCACAGAAATCCAATACCTTAATGTCTTACAATTGCAGGTATTCATCAAGAATAGTCTTTATTCTGTTTAGTTGCCGTAAAGCACAGACCGCAATGGTTCTAATGGTTGATTTAACGGTGGTAATTTGACTTTGACGATTTTTAGCAATAACTCGGCTCCAGCGCCACCTTGCGTATCTTTTTATAAGCTTTTATTTAACTTGGTCATCCCGCGCAAATCGCGGAAATTTCCAATCGATTTTAAACTGACTTCCCGACAAGTTAGAGACTTGAAATTTTCAGCATAGTTCCAATCACGATGACAATGCAATTTAAAATATAAATGAATTCCCCATATGGTCCAGGGGTCTTGATTCAAAGGCGGTCAAAAAATAGTAAGATTTATGGCTAACAGAGCGTAATTTGCCAAAGAACGTAAAACCACTATAAAATTGTTAAAGCTGTCGGCGATAGTGTAGCAAAGCTACTTGTGGCAAATTCTGATATCAACCTAGTCTAGATATGAACCTCGCTGTAAGAATTAGAAGACTCCACATGTCGAGACCCCACATGACTCGAACCATCTCTTCGCATGCCCGGAAAACCCGACAACCCTAACGGCCCTGTCCCTGTGGACAGATCCCACAGAAGCTGCACGCTTCCTAGGGTTGCCGTTAGTGGAACTTGACGACAACGACTGAGATACCAACCGATCTGGGCGGGGTTGTTGTAGCCGCTACAACCACAACAACAACAACACGCCATTTCTTTAAATAAAATTAACTGCTGCTATATGTACATATGTATGTTTATACAAACCGTAAGCAAACAACATTTTGCTTGCCAAGTCTTCTGTTCTCTTTCATTGCAAGTTGAATTATTTTAATATCTATTGCAAAATTTTGTACATAAAATAAAATAACACTTTTTAATATACAACGCTTTTATAAATGGACTAAAAATTATAAAATAAAATAATGTAAAAAAAATATTTTTTAAAAACAAGCTTTTATTTAACATGTACAATGAAAGGAATAAAAAAAATAGTGTAACAAAGATTTTTTAGCAAGAAAATTTTGTCAAAACTGCATTAAAACGAATAAAATAAAATAAGTTAAGGTCTCGTTAAAGTTACTAAAAGCCATTTAGTGAAAGGAGTTATTCAAACTCTAATGAAAATTACTAACAATTTGTACTAATTTACTTCGTTTTTAAAAAAGCTTGTCGCGCGAATAGCAATCCGACATTTAAATATCTGCATAGATACATATACATACATACCTAACCAATTATGCATGTACGCTGAATTCGCCGACAAGCTTTTACATCAACGAAGTAAATTAGTAATTTTATTTTGCTATAGTATTGCCCCTATCGTTACCAATACATAAATACCTCGAATATGAGTCAAATAGAATCACAAACACGATTTTGAATAATGACTCGATTACAGCGCCACCTGGCGTTTTAAGTTGTAAATCTAAACTATACAGGGACCTACTCAAACCCACATAAAAGAATTCATTAAAGTCGTTTTGGTCGTTGAGGAGGAGTTCACACACAAACACACGTACCAAAAAATTATATACACCCACCAGAATAAGTATTTTACATACTGACGCTTTTCGACATTTTTTTCCATACAAAAAAAAACTATCACGCATTCGTTATACGGAGAAAATGCGCAACATCATCAGCAAAAAAAAAATTATCAAAAATTAACGGTAGCTTATAGCCACTTAAAACTTGCACTTAACTTTATTATACTGAAATTGAGTGAACTACAAAACTGCATACTAAAAATTTGGTGAAAAGTTTAAAATTTTGGTGAAAGTTTGTCGAATTTTTCTTAATATTGTAAAAACTTTGAAATACTAATTTATATGCCATTTGGTAAAAAATTTATCATGAATAAGATTGCAAATATTAAAAAGAAACACTGTACGGGGACATATTCTGGTGGGTGTATATATTTACAGGCAGGTAAAAGTTTCAATATGTTTGGAAGGCGCCTCGCCCCCTTTTCCAATAGCCCACACTTTTCTCCATGAGCATAGGGTTGATTTCAATACCAAGCTCCAGGACTCCGCAACAAATACTTCCAGAGATATACGGTATGAAAAATTCGATATGTGATATTTGAGGTGTCCAAAATTAAAAACAAATCGGTACAGCCGTTCGCGAGATCACCTCTTATAAAAAGAAGGAGCTTCTCTTTATATAAATACGGCAAAACTTTGGTAGACTTTTTTGTGCTGATTACGAATCCGTAAGTATAAAGTTTCCATCAGCTCCAGATTTTGAGAAAAACGTGGTGAAAGTGTAAAAAAATAGACTTTGTTGCTTTTCAATTTTTCCTAATAAATAATCGTGGTGCAAAGCTCAATAAAAATATTAAAAATAAAATGTTAATAAGCCACAACATTGACAAAAAAAAATTACTTATTGATGTTATGTTATGTTAACTTGATGTTATTTAACATTTTAAACTAGCTTAAAGTAGGATTAAAATAATTGGCAGGTAGTCATAGTCGAAAAAAAGTCCACTGAAAGTTTAGTTGCAGTTATTTTTTTTACAGGCATCCTATTGGAAACATACAGCATCCCATTGGTAGAGGGCTTCGGGTGTACGAATTTGTTGTAACATCAGGAGTTGAAGACTTGCTCTAGCTGCTAGTCTCTTAAAATTTCCTCCAATCACGTTGTAAGCAGATTTCCCATGTAAACTTGCAACAAAGTTCAATTCTGCCATTTCCTTGAAGGGATTTTCATGATTTCAGACCTTTGGTAAAGTTAATATCATTTATTCATATTTTTTTTGTTTTTACACACCTATCCTCTTTTAAAAAATATACTATTTCATAAAATTTCAATGTCTATTTATCATACTGCTCGAGCGTTAGACGATCTAGAGTCCATACGCATAAGTAGCCCATTACGCCCATTTGGGTACTTAAGGTTGACATTATAGACAATATTTGTATGTAAAAATAAAAAATTTTAAAAATGCTATAAAAAAATCAAAAGGAAAAATTTTTACTTATTTTTTTTGTTTTTTATACGTTGCACATTAATGTAAAAAATGTACAATTAAAGCCCATAATAAGACGGAAGAAATACTTTTTTTCAGTAAGTTTCGTTAAAAGGTTTCCAAGATACAGCACTTTAAAGAAAGGTATGTATAACTAGTGTGACCAACCGTTTTTCTTTCGGAAGTACAGTGCTTCTTTTTTCGCTCTTGTACTTCGTACTTCGAAGTACAGTCAAATGTACTTCTTTGCGATATTTTGTATTTCAGGAGGGAGATTTTGTAACTGGTTAGCGACAATTTTCGGATAGCGATTCGAAAATTGCCGCTACGTGGTTTCAGAATCTCCCCCCAGGTCCTGTATTTCTCCGACCTTCTGGACGATTGTCACTTGGCCTGGGCGATAAATTCGTTCAAACCATTAAAGTCGCCGGCGACCAATGGCATCATATTTGCGCAGCTGCAAAGGGCTCTGAAGGTGTCGTGCTATTGGTTGGATCCTATTTATGCAAACTGCGTGAGGACCGAGTACATCCCCAAGGCTTGGAGGGTAGTCAGTGTTACGTTCAGCTTACTTCGTGACAGAACTGTCGCGGCGGAGTGGGGGAGCGCCTACACTCAGTGCAGAGTCATTATAAGCACTCCACAAGGTGGTGTTCTCTCCAAACTGCTCTGGATTGCGGTTGTAAACGACCTTCTAGAGAAACTGGTAAAAGTGGGCTTTCGGCTGTTCGCCTGTGTAGATGATATGAAACTTTTGGTTAAGGGACGATTTCTAGATTTCTTTAGGATCTGGCTCAAGGCTACCTGAACCAGGTAACTAGGTGGGCGATCAAAGGCGGCTGTGGTGGAAGCCTAACAGAGAGGAAAGGGTAAGAAAGGTGTCGGTTGCTTTATATTGCTGTAGGGAAGCTATCGGTAAAAGGTGACGTCTCTCGTCCAAATTAATTTATTAGCTCTAGGAAACCAGACTTAAGCCTATATTGTTTTATGGAGCCCTTGTCTGGTGGAACTCACTAGAGAAGGCTACACTCGTAAAATAAGAATTAGTGGAGCACTTGGAACCACACATACACTGGCGCTTAACATACATATATATGTTGAACACGGCGCCTGTGGGATTGACAAAAAAAAGGAAAAGAAGACGTTTCTCTGCTGCAGCAAATATTTGTATATGGAACTTTAAAGCACGTTACCTCACAAGGGCTAGCGGTTGGGGTTCTGACAGGCCATTGTGCGATTGGTATTCGTGCCGTGAGACTAGGAATTTCAACTGATCCTTTTTTAGCTGTCAAGATGAAGATGAAGTGGAATCATCTGCACACTTTCTTTTAGACTGTCCAACTTTCGCGAGGCTAAGATGGAAGCATTTTGGCTCGGACTTCCAAACAACCACTGAGCTCTCAGGGATCGAAATTTAGTAATCGGCTCGCGGCGTTAACTTAACCCAACCTAACCAGTACTTCTTTGAG